AAATAAAACGTCGAAATGACAAAGTGGAGATGACTGGTTTAAGGTTATAACATTTATCTATCAACGTAATTATGACAGAGAGAAGAGTAATATGTAGTACGAAGCACTACAATATTGTCCTTTCGATCTATTGTCTATTCGATAAAATGTTATTCGATAAAATATATCTTCGATCAAATGTTATTCGACCAAATGTATTTTCGATCAAATTCCATTCGATAAAATGTATTTTCGATCAAATTTCCAGCTCGATCAAATGTTTCAATTTTGTGCCACCCAATAAATTTTCACTAAAAACCACAAATTTTATAAATTTTAAAATATAATGCTGTATTTGTAATTTTGTTGTACTAATTTTAATATTGTAATTTTGTTGTTGTAACTGCGTAATTATTAGTACAATTACTGAGGCCTTTCCTATGGGACCTCAGTATTGCATTCGTGCAGACGAAAAAATTTTCTGACCTCCATTTTTTAAAACTTTTTTTCATGTTTATGATCATTCTGAATCCGAAAATCCAAAAAAAAAATTTTCGTCTGGTCGTCTGTATGTATGTATGTATGTATGTATGTATGTATGCCGGCACGATAACTCTAGAACGAAAGTTCTGATTGACTTGCGGTTTTGATTTTCTTGAATAATTACTTCTAACTTATAGCGGATTCGACTGGCTGCATTAATGCGCATTTAATTCGACTTTTTTAAGTGGTGTTTGTTCGACTGACAGAACCTAATTAATTAAATGTCAATTATTGCATTCGACTGAAATTGCTCGGTACCAAGGCATAGTGGAATTTTTGTTCGACTGGCAGTCGCTCTTGCTCAAAGTTCGAATTTTTTGGAACTGTACTTTTTTTCAGTGCCAGTGTCATTTTGGAGGTTAGGAATTATTTAATATTTTTAAATATATTACCATCTTTCTCTTTATTATTAGTGATAATGGAAAATCTTTGAAATTAATAGAGATATAATTTTTGGTTTGGCAACTATAAATAAATATCGTTAAAAATTTGTTAGAAATCTGAAATGTCAAGTGCTAACTGTGCCAGTCGAATAACGATAGAGACGCGCTATACCAATGTCGAACTCTAGCTCTTGCTTGCTGTGTGCACTGCTAGATATAAATTTGAATTATAAAAATGCTGCCCAAAATCAATTCAGAACCGAAAGCGCTTTGTCATCGAGCAAGAGCATTTGAGTCGAATCCGCTATTAGAACCCTATTGATTTTCAGAAATTTCGGTTCATCCTAACTACTTTAATAACAATTTTCTTAAAATCCGCATATGCGTTCCTTATGTGAACAATTTTAGGAATATAAATTATTTCTAACGTCAAAATTCCTAATAGCGGATTCGACTGGCTGCATTAATGCGCATTTAGTTCGACTTTTTTAAGTGATGTTTGTTCGACTGACAGAACCTAATTAATTAAAAATCAATTATTGCATTCGACTGAAATTGCTCAGTATTAAGGCATAGTGAAATTTTTGTTCGATTGGCAGGCGCTCTTGCTCAAAGTTTGAATTTTTTGGAACTGTACTTTTTTCAGTGCCAGTGTCATTTTAGAAGTTAGGATTTATTTAATATATTTAAATATATTATCATTTTTATCTCTATTATTAGTGAGAATGAAATATCTTTGAAATTAATAGAGATTTAATTTTTGGTTTGGCAACTATAAATAAATATCGTTAAAAAATTGTTAAAAACCTGAAATGCTAACTGTGCCAGTCGAATAAGGATAAAGATGCGCTACACCATTGTCGAACTCTAGCTCCTGCTTGCTGTGTGCACTGCTAGATATGAATTTGAATTATAAAAATGCTGCTCAAAATCAATTCAGAACTGAAAGCGCTTTGTCATCGAGCAAGAGCATTTGAGTCGAACATTCTTCACATTCCATAAATTGCAAACATTCTCTAACGACCTGTCAAACAACAGCTGTTGATAGTAAAGGTGAAATTTCTAAGGCGGGTTGCGACCTTCATACTTGCAACCATAAAGCCATTTTGGAGGCTATTTTCATTCGAAATTAGTCGCCAAGTCTGCCAATTCATGAAAAATATATAAGCAGTTTCTTAAAAATTACTTTTTATGGTGATGCTATTAAGCGTACTACTATTTCGCCCCTAGCCACAAAAACACCTTCATCAAATTTCTCTGTCGCAACCCCATAGAATAATTAACAGGCCATTTTATTTGGAAAAAATCAAAATAATGCTTGGCTGTGCCTGTCAAGTATCAAGATGTCAAACGTGATATGTGAATGGCTCTTAAATGTTAAATTATTTAAAAATGTATACTTCTTTTGATATTTATTGCAAATAATAGATACCTCAATTCAGGCTTTCCATAAATAAAAATACAGCAAGACAGATAATATAATGTTCTTATACAAATCACGTTTTTATTATATAAAAGAGAGGTAGAAAATAATGCCCATTTCAAATCTAAATCATTTAATACCAAGGTATTTTGTTGTGTTTTTCATTTTAATTATAAAGTTGTCATTTAATTGTATGTTGAAAAAAGGCCTTTGTAAATTACATTGTTCTTTATGGATCTATTTTAACACAAAAATAGTTTTGTGGCTATAAGTTGCTATAACCTATCTTCACAAAACTATTAATAATTTAAACATAGTAAGTGGTATTAATATAACAAGTAATTTTTTAAACAACAAATAATTTTTTTAAATAAAGTACATGATCTCAAAGCAAATAATCTATAATAAATGCTGATAAAACGAGGGGTAAAATAACAATAAATTAAGGGAAATACTTAAAAAGGGCAGGTTTAAAGAGTATTAACACAAGAAAGTATATCCAATTATTATTGAATAAATTGCTCAAACAAGTTTTTAAACCCTAATCAAAAGGCGATATAGAATGGTTTTAAAAATCAAGGCTCGTGAAAATCATCACATGGTTTAACCTAAGTAATGCCAATGCTTCACAAACCAAAAAATTCAACGTGCTAAAACTACTATCGGCTTTCTATATTTCGTTCCAAGTTAAATCATTTCTCGTTTGTTACGCTACGAGTTTACCCTTGTGGGCCTCAGTCTCGATAAGGTGGGAACCACCATTTTAGCGTCTCTCGAATTTTAAATTTGTAACTGCCATTGTAATTTTTAAATTCATGTAATTTTAACTTTGAATATTGTGATCTAAGACGTATTGTCTCGTATGTAAAATGGTCAATAAATGGTTTGGTATGTTATGATATGGTATTATTATTATAAATAATAAGTCTGTTTTCTTTTCGAAATATTTTTTTTAAACAACTTGTTTGTAAAATACGTATGTTCTCTCCTCTGGTCGATTTCACTAACACAAAATTATAAAAAAAAAAATCTATTTAAAATAAACCTTAAAGCTGAATTCCGATTATTGAAAAATATATAAAACACTATTTTATCTCTATAAAACACACGGAATTTCTTCACGGCACTAATAGCAATTAAATCCTAGTATCATCACATCACTTTTGGAAATTTTTTCAAGAATATTTTAACCTGTACAATCTTCAATAACTTCATCTGGTGCTATCCAAGTTCTCTTGAAGTCTTATTTTTTCTCAGTAGCGAAAAATTATCTTAAATGTAAACAAACTTTTTTATGACGAGCAACAGAGAAGTAAGCTCTCGACATTTTATGAAGCTTTTACAACTGTGCATTACGCACCCTGGGCTCACCAGCAAAGTTACTCTTGTTGAGCTGTACTTATTTTAAAAATGTATCTCCAGTCCTTTTTAACCACCCGCAAATGCAAATCACGTATTTATTTATATTTTGAAAAAAGAATCTTAAAACCAATTTAAAATTTTTTCTGTTTTTAAAATGTATAAAAATATAATCAAATGTTTTATATTATAGATTTTCTCGGTATAATTCTGAAACCATCAAAATCTGGGGACAGCCTGTATCATAAAAGTAAAACCTGCCATATATTTTTCTAATAGCAATAAAGTTCAAATTAGTAACGATATGAAAACAGATATATATATTTCATTTTTTCCGAGTTCAAAATATATCTTAGTACATATGTGGAGACTCAAAAAATAAATAATATAAAGAAAAGTTAAAAAAGTTCATTTTTAAATGGGTCCATTAAAAATTATCTTAATATATTGTTCTAATATAGATTTTCTCGGTATAATTCTAAAACCATCAAAATCTGATGACAGCCTGTATCATAAAAGTAAAAACCTGCCATATATTTTTCTAATAGGAATAAAGTTTAAATTAGTAATGGTATGAAAACAAATGTATTTATTTCATTTTTTCCAAGTTCAAAATATATCTTAGTACATATGTGGAGACTCAAAAAATAAATAATATAAAGAAAAGTTAAAAAAGTTCATCTTTAAATGGATCCATTAAAAATTATCTTAATATATTGTTCTAATATAGATTTTCTCGGTATAATTCTAAAACCATCAAAATCTGATGACAGCCTGTATCATAAAAGTAAAACCTGCCATATATTTTTCTAATAGGAATAAAGTTTAAATTAGTAATGGTATGAAAACAAATGTATTTATTTCATTTTTTCCAAGTTCAAAATATATCTTAGTACATATGTGGAGACTCAAAAAATAAATAATATAAAGAAAAGTTAAAAAAGTTAATTTTTAAATGGATCCATTAAAAATTATCTTAATATATTATTCTAATATAGATTTTCTCGGTATAATTCTGAAACCATCAAAATCTGAGGACAGACTGTATCATAAAAGTAAATACCCAGTAGGAAGATTTATAAACAATAAATAATAACACTTCGTAATCATAAAACCTTTCATATTCGACTATAAAAAAATATATACCCACTAAAAACAACTTTACCAAATCTGCAAAAATATGTCGTTCATGTAACTAATTCTAGCGAAAAAACAAGTATTTCGGTACGACTAAATCCCTATTCAAACATATAAATCATAAACACATACCAATAAATCTCTAGATATTATTATCTATTCTCAAACAAACTGACGCGTCATTAATGTCAAAAGCTTGAAAAATCATAAGGACTACCCGTTGCGGTACCAGAAACACGTGAACCTCCTGTGTAAAAGCTGCTAGGAGAAAAAGTTTTCTGCAGTACTCCGACCACCACTCTCTGCCTTCGGTGGTACTCTTGTCAGTACCCACGTAGCTCTTGGACGTCGAAGCATATCGGTAACGGTCTTTGTCGTGCGACTATTAAAGCTTGGTTTAAAATTTGCGAAAACGGCCTTAAGCGGTGCTGCTAGTGCTGGTTTTTGTTCCTTCTGGAAGGGAAGCTCGTACCACGGAAAATTCTTTCAGAGGCTCGATCCCGGATCAAAACGGTGAAACTGGGACAAAAGAGTTCTAGTGTAGGACTGGAAGGAGGTTGATTTTTAATAGTTTTATGTAAGTCCTTTTTTTTAATTTTAATTTTCTTTTAATCTATGTCTTATATCATCGTCCAGTACATTTACAATTTTTTTATTTGAATAGTTCATTTGCTTTTAATAAAAAAATACCTGCTATATATTTTTTTAATAGCAATAAAGTTTAAATTGTATTTATTCCATTTTTTCAAAGTCCAAAATATATCTTAGTACATATATGGAGACCTAAAAAATAAATAATATAAAGAAAAGTTAAAAAAGTTCATTTTTAATTGGTCCATTAAAAATTATCTTAATATAAACTTAAATATTTAATTTGTGATTTATTTTTTATTTTTTCGAATGTATCTATTTTAATTAATAATTAAAAAAACTAGATAATGAATGTTAGTTAAATTTTGAATCTCATTACTTTTTTAAGAATCCTGTCTAGTAATATTTTTTTTATTTTTTGCATAAATGAATATTGCAATGTTTTATGCAAAACTGATATACAAAATTTAAACCAATTTTTATGTGAAAAATGTTATGCGTTATTATAACATTATTGAACTATGTTAATAAAGTGCTTCTTGGTAAACTTTTAAAACGTCAATTCTTATATTTAAAACTATAATTTATTTCATTTGATGCACTCACTAAAATATTGAATATTATGACATATATCGTCGTCCAAAATTTTACATTTTTTAGTTTGTTATTCCCATGTACCTTAAATTTAACATTATTTATTAGGAAAACATGAACAACTCGAAAAACACCATAAAGATACTTATAATTTAAAATTCTATAATGACCAAATAATTGATTTAATTTTATAATCATATACAAATCATTAAAATACTATCGGTGGAATTGGTTACCTTCTCTTGTATACCTACGATATTAGAGTTTTTATTAAATTTTATGATTACCTATAACTTACCTTCTAAGTACCTACCTATTAACTGATACTGAAATAATACTACTACTATACAGGGTGTTTTTTAAACATGCGGCAAAAATTCAAGGGGTTGTTGCTTGGACTATTCTAAGAATATTTTGTTCTTTGATGATTTTTAAAATTCCGTTTCGATTAGGAGATACAGGGAGAAAACTATTTTTATTATTTTTAAAATTATTAATAGTCTAAATAAAAATAGGTACTACACTGTGTTAACCAAGAATATACAACTTTTTTAAAAATTCGTTATTTTTATTATTTTTTAACAACATTCCAAAAACTAAAAACGGATTTTCAAAATCATCAAAGGACAAAATATTCTTAGAATAGTCCAAGGAACAACCCTTGAATTTTTAAAAAACACACTGTTTAATGTACGAGTATATACATATAACTCAAGCAGTTTTAAATTTTTGCATATTTTATTTCCATAGGGCATATTTCTCTCAATAAAAAAAAATCAAATCTGCTAATTACAATGTAAAAATGTTGTATGTACATGCAAATTTTATTTAAAGTACTAAATATATTTTTTCTTAGAACAGTACACTTACTACAGCATACAAATTTCATGGCATTTTCAAAAGTATTAATAGTGTCACGTCCATTTATTTTCAAACAAAAATCAATAAAAAATATATATATGCGTGTGCAAATCATTAAACATTTCATTCAAAATCAATGACAAGCGATAAGGTGCATGCCGTGAAAATCCTAGAATATTTTTCAAATTTATTCTAGCTTAGCATTCTTTACCAAGTCGCTATATTTTTCGGAATGTATTAACATATTTTTTTAAATATTTATATTTTTGTATTTAAAATTTTTTAAAAATCTCAGACTTCTTTAATACTTAAATGAACATACATTCTTTAAAAAATTGCTATTATAACATTAAAAATAACTTCTTAATTGGCAATGATTTAATGGCAAAAGTTAATAATAATTCAGTTAATTATATAAATAACTTACTAATTTATTATTAGTAAAGATTTGTGTGTATTAATCTAAATTGTAGCGGAAACAACAATATTTAAAACAAATATTTAATTTACTAATTGAAAGGTCTTATAAAAATTAGTTTGGCAATAAAGACCTATAAAGTTACCTAAGAATCTTTTTAATGTATTTTTTGATCCATGCACTTGCATTAAAAAAAACAGTGATCATACACTTTCATTAAAAAGAAACAGTGATTATTTAACCATGTTCTAAAAGAAATTACTTCATCCTGGTAACTAGATCGTTAATATGAATAGACTATGTAACAAGTTGAGTGCCTGAGTGGGTTATAATTCAACAAAACTTTACAATTTTCTTGATTATTCTTTTTTTTTTTTTTTGTTTATTATTGCATATTTTATTTCATTATTAAATTTTGTATTTGGCACTAAAATTTAATTGAGATTGGGGTTTCTGGTTAATTTTGTATTTTTTTAAATTACTTAGTTTAAGGTCGAACGATTAATACGACCGCAATTACTAATACCAAACGCCATCTGCCGGTGGATATAAAACATATTATTCGGACAGCAAGTACATGCAAGTAAATATCCTGAATATTCACAGGGGATCCCCACAGGGAGAAGTCCTTTCTCCGCTACTGTGAAACTGGTAGATGAACTGCTGAGAACTCTGAACAATTAATAATACGCCGATGACATGGTCATCCTTATCCGAGGAAAACATCAAACCAGTCTTCGAGCTTGTGCAAACAGCTCTAAAGCTGATAGAAATGTGGTATGTTAGGGAAAACCTCTTGGGACATCCTGAAATTCTATGTTAAAAGAAATGCTAAAACGAACTAAGTAAAACATATGGATCTAATTATAGATAGCAAACTAACTTAAAACGAACACTTAAAAAAAATGGCCAACAATTGTAAAATGCCTCTTATGGTACCAAGAAGGGCATTTGGGAACGTGTGGCTATATTCGGCAATAACAATACCCATGATTACCTATAGAGAGGTTCTTTAGTGGTCAATAGTAATCCAGAAAACAGCTCTTTGAGAAGTACAGAGGCTGGTCTGACTTTGTACTACAGGAGCCCTGAGAAGTATATCGGACAGCATCTATGGAAATTTTTCCTCCACCAACTGGAACCCACTGATAGATATAAAACATATCAGAGTAACATATGAGGTAAATGATCTCATGTTAAATGTAGAATTATATCACATGACACTCCACTCCACCTAACGGTCGACTGCAACTGGAACGAGGTAAATCAGGAGGTAGATAAATACTTGCTTAGGGTTCATGTATAATATACAAAGAGAAGGTAACACAAAATCGACATCACCGTCCCATTGAAAAACATACCGCTATATTTCAGACTAAAATACATGCAGTCGAGTTATATGTAAGATAGAATTAAGGAAGAAAGTACAATAACCAAACCATCCTAATTCTCTCAGACAGCCAAGCAGCTTTAAAAAAGGCTCTTTGTTCAAGCAGAATCAAGTCAGAGCTGGTCTGGAACTGGAACTCACTTGGAATAACTTATGATTTGGCAACCCACAATAAGGTAAAACCGGCGTGGATATCGAAACATAAAGGTATCCAAGCAAATTAAAAGCCTGATGAATTTGCCAAAGAAGGATCTGAACTTAAATTCACTGACCCAAACTTATATTTGGGATAAGTAAAACCTCTGCTTAACAGGTAGTGAACAGATGGATACCTACTAACCATCAAACTCACTGGCAACAGATAAGAGGACACATACTCAGTAAGCTTGTGCTATCTAGACCACACACACGCATGAATGCTAAGGTATTACAACTTGCAAGGTCCCAGATATCCATTATCGAGGGATTACTAACAGGACACTGCTTGCTAGAACACCTTCATGTAATGGGATTACATACTGATCCCACCACTTGAAGAATTTGCATAGAATAGGAAGAAACCTCATACCATATCATCCTTGAATGCGAAGCTCTTGCTAGGTGGCGACAAAACATTTTTGGTCTAAACTCAGAATAATAACCCCAGGAACACTTGGTAAGGAATCTAGTAAAACTAACCAAAGGTACCGGACTATTCGGAGATAGTACCTGAATACTGGGAAAGCACATAAATACAATAGACCTAAGAGGCCGCACTGTTCTGGATAGAATCTACCCCTATCTGCTTACAACCGACAAAGATAAAGATAAAAAATACTGAACATATTTTTAAATAACTACATTCAAACAACGATATACTGATAAATCAATGCAATTCTAATAAATTTATTAACATAGAAGTTTTAATTTTCCAGATCAAAAAATAATTATTTAAAACGACCCTTATGTGCCATGTTACTACTATAATATGGTAACCAGAGTATTTGCATGAATAATTTAGTAGAATTTGTAAAGCGTAATTAAATACAAATACTATATATATCTTACATGGTTTTAAAAAATATACAAAGTATAATTTAATTCTTATAACACAATGTACTTACTACCAAAAATATTTTAAGTTATTAACTAAATATAAAATATTTTCTGGACCAATTCTAGTAGATTCTACAGCTTCATCATCCTCAATCTGCTTTTCTCTATCTGCCTACTGACTCTTATTGCTTATTGCAATCGCTACTCGCCTCGATTAGTTAGTTTACTTCTACTGGCGACCAACGTGTTATATTTTTTACTTAATATCGTTTTCCTACTTAATTTTTGCAAATTTAAATAAATAATAGGTAGTCTTAAAAAATCGTAAATACATGTTATTTCACATAAATGTATAATGAGAATTAATTGGTTTTTTTAATAGAAATATGAGTTAATTCTAAATAATAAACGAGTAGTTAAAACTATGGGATTGGATTATTGATTCGAGAATATAAAAATGTACATAAAAAATAATTTATGTTCATAAAATACAGAACTAGCAAAAAAAAATAAAGACCAATCTTAATTAATTTCTGACTGTGATTATATAAAGGAATACATTAATTTAATTACTTCGCATAAACTGTGTTCGAGGAAAAACCGATAAGCTGTTTTTAAAGATCTTATTTTAAATCTTTATTTAAACTAGTAATTATTTGAATAATTTGAAAATTCGGAAACAAATCTC